TGACACCCTGACAGGTGGCTATTCAGCCTCAATAATAATAATAATAATAATAATAATAATAATAATAATAATAATAATAATAATGCTGCAAGAGCTCTAGTGAGCCATCCAGTCCAACCCCCTGCCATGCAGAAAAGGCACCAGCAAAGCACCCTGACAGATGGCCATCCAGCCTCAGTTTTAAAGCTTCCACCACACTCCGAGGCATAGAGTTCCACTACTGAACAGCTCTAAGAAGTTCTTCCTCATGTTAAGTTGGAATCTCCTTTCCTGCCATTTGATCCCATTGAGTCCTAGTTTCCAGGGCTGCAGAAATGAACAGCTCTTCTTACAGTCAGGAAGTTTTTCCTAATGTTCAGGTGGAATCTTCTTCCGAGTCATTTGAACACTTAGTTTCCAGGGCAGCAGAAAATGAACCTGCTTCCTTTTCCTTATGACACCCTTTTGGATATTTAAACATGGGTATCATGTCTCCTCTCAACCTTCTCTTCTGAAAGCTGAACAGACTCAGGTCTAACTCATAGGAGTTATTCATAGTTTCCAGGCCTTTGATCATTTTAGTTGTTCTCCTTTGGATACCTTCCAAAGAATACATTCCAGCTTGTCAATATCTCCTTTAAATTGTGGTGGCCAGAATTGGACACATTATTCCAGGCAAGATCTGACCAAAGCAGAATGGAGAAGCACCTCAATCCCTCAGTCTAGACCAGGCATGGGGAAACTTTGACCTTCCAGATGTTTTGGACTCCAAAACACCTGGAGGGACGCAGTTTGCCCATGCCTGATCTAGACACTAGTCTCCTTTTGATGCAGGCCAAAATGCCATTGGCTTTTTTGGCTGCTACAACACACTCTTGGTTCATGTTCAGCTTGTTGTCCACAAGGTCTCCAAGATCTCTTTCATATGGACTGTTGTTGAGCCAAGCGTCACCTACCCAAAGTCTTTCAGGCCCCTTCTCTACTGTATTATATGCTCAGCATAGATTCATAGACTGTCAGTCGACGAACAGAAGAGGTTTTGTAGGTTTGTTGAATTTGTTTATAAGTCGAAACTGGGCCATTTTATAAGATATATATATTTATATACTAGCTATCCCCTGCCACTCGCGGTGGCCCAGTTTCACGAGATGGAAAATAAAGTAATGAGAAAGTGTTGGTTTCTAATATAATGCTTGTGGGTTAAAAGTATTTCTTGTTGTTTCTTTGTCTGTGTTGATGTAGAGATTGCCTGGTTTGCCTACTCTGGAACATGCAACATCTAATTGTCGTCCTTTAGGGGTCCCTTTCAAATCTATGATACTACTAGCTGTCCCCTGCCACACGTTGCTGTGGCCCAGTCTGCTGATCTGGAAAAGAAAGTAATGAAAAAGTGTTGGTTTATAATATATGTAATTTCTTTATGCTTGTGGGTAAACAGTATTTTTTGCTGTTTCTTTGTCAGTGTTGATGTAGAGATTGTCTGGTTTGCCTACTCTGGAACATGCAACATCTAATTGTCCTTCTTTAGGGATCCCTTTCAAATCTATGATACTATATCTGTGTATGTGTGTGAATCATATCTATCTTCTATCTATCTATCTATCTATCTATCTATCTATATCTGTGGCTGGATGGCTCTTTGTCAGGAGGGCTTTGATTACATTTTCCTGCCCTGGTGAAGGGAGTTGGACTTGATGGCCTTAACTATTTTCTGTTGGTCATGGGGGATCTGTGTGGGAAGTTTGCCTCAATTCTGTCATTGGTGGAGTTCAGAATGCTCTTTGATTGTAGGTGTGCTATAAATCCCAGTAAATACAACTCCCAAATGTCAAGGTCTATTTTCCCCAAACTCCATCAGTGTTCACATTTGGGTATATTGAGTATTAGTGCCAAGTTTGATCCAGAACCATCATTGTTTGAGTCCATAATGCTCTCTGTTGTAGATGAACTACAACTCCCAAACTCAAGGTCAATGCCCACCAAACCCTTCTAGTGTTTTCTGTTAGTCCTGTGTGCCAATTTTGATTCAATTCCACCTTTGGTGGAGTTCAGAATGCTCTTTGATTGTAGGTGAACTATACATCCCAGCAACTATAACTCCCAAGTGAGAAAATCAATTTTTTGAGTGATGGCCTTGGGTTAGTAGGTGTCTTGTGGCCAAATTAGGCGGCAATTCGTCCAGTGGTTTTTGATTTATGTTAATCCCACAAACGAACATTACATTTTTATTTATATAGACTAGCTGTCCCCTGCCATGCATTGCTGTGGCTTAGTCTGTGTATATTTGTTTTGTGTGTGTATAGGTGTGTGTGTGTTTGTGTATATATGTGGTTTTACGCATGCGTTGTAATGTATTTTTTTTTGGCTTTTTAATTCCCTTACGCTGTGTTTTTCACTGTTTTTATGAGTTATGGTCACTTGTTGGCCGGATAGGTGTATTGTGTCCAAATTCGGTATCAATTCGTCCAGTCGTTTTTGAGTTATGTTAATCCCACAAACATTACATTTTTATTTATATAGATATATCCAGTAACTTTGGATAGCATAGGGAAGAGTTAACACCCCTGTGGTGTTTGTTTTGCTGTCTGTGCCCCGGTTCAGAAGATTACACCTCTCTTTATGTTCCCATGATAATTGGATTTTAAAAAAAATAGCTTGTTGTGGAAACAAGGATTAGTGATAAGGTTTCAGTGGACACTTTCCCCACATGCCAACTTTTTCAAGAGTGAATTTCCTACTTCCTGTTGTCTGACCCCCATTCTTAACTCAAAGTTGTTTGTAAGAACGATGTTTCTAACTTGGGGACAGAAAGGAACGTAACACAACAAAGCAGGGCTGTTGTATTGAGGAGAAGGAGGTCTCTAAGGCCCCATCTCTACTGCAGTATAGTGTAGATCAGGCATGGGCCAACTTTGGCCCTCCCTCCAGGTGTTTTGGACTTCAACTGTGGGAGTTGAAGTCCAAAACACCTGGAGGGCCGAGGTTGGCCCATGCCTGGCATAGATTCTTATACAGCAGGCCCCAAATTACGAATGACAACAGATCAGTTCTGTAGGTTTGTTAAGTTGAAATTGTGTATACACTTTTTAAGTATTGCTCTAGCCATAGATACACGTGATTCAATTCTGCTAAACTGCATTGCATGAGACTACACTGACCTTAGAATGCAGTTTCAAATTGCATTCTATGGCAGTGTAGATGGGGCCTGTGTTTGACGTTTCCGAGTTACAAACATCAGACTTTCAAATGACTCATAGTTAAGAACAAGGGTGAGACAACAGTAGGTGAGAAAAATCTATCTCTCAGAAGGGAAATTCACTCCTGGAAAGGTTGTTATCAAGGACAAAAGGTGTCTCCGCTGAAGCTTTATCTCCAATCCTTGTTTCAAAATATCACAGTGTAAATGAGGCTTGTGCTTGAAGGCATTGTTGGAGTGGGTGTGCCTCTTTGGTTGTAGGTCTTTGGCAGTGCCGGAGGCCTGCTTTGGCTCTGTCTGCACTGAGCTTTTAACACAGTTTGAAGCTAAATTCAACGCCAGTGGCTAGACAAGAGTGCCCAGAAAAGTACACAAAAGAAAGCCTTAATGTGTGCCTAATGGGTTGTGTCATCGCCATCCGGGTCACAAGCTGGTTCCAGGATTTTCTAGTGCAAACTGCATGAAGTGGTCAGTGTAGATGGGGCCAAAGGTTTGGATAAACAAACCAAAGTTACCAGAAATGTACTCTTTTCA